TGTCTACACGACTCTTCAATCCCTCCAGGGATGGGGACTCCACCACTGCTCTGGGCAACCCCTTCCAATGCCTCAGAACCCTTTCAGCAAAGAAATTCTTCCTCACATCCCATCTCAACTGCCCTGGCCACAACTGGAGCCCATTTCCTCTTGTCCTGTCCCTTGGGCCTTGGTTGAACAGACCCACCCCCACCTCTCTCCACCCTCCTCCAAGGGACTTGCACAGAGCCAGAAGGTCTCCCCTCAGCCTCCTTTTCTCCAGGCTCAACAACCCCAGTTCCCTCAGCCACAAGGGAACTCAGCACACTTGTGCTCCAGACCCTTCCCCAGCTCCGTTGCCCTTCTCTGGACACGCTCCTGTTTAATTCTTTTTTCTTTGATAGTTGTTTTAAAATTAACAGGGTTCTACTTAAACGGTAGCATTGTCTCTCTTAGGCTGTGAACTTCTCTCTGAGTGGATTGGTTATTCAGATTAATGCTTTAGCTGCTTGGTTTTTAATTTTTGCATGAGCAGTTGCTGTTTGGCTTGCTTTATGTCGCTTTAAAAAAGGAAAGCGTGACAGCTGAGTGACAAGTCAGTGAGAGGAATTTCAAGCCCTGAAGGGGAGATGTCAATGTCAAAGTTCTGTCGAAGTCCTCGTCAGCCAGTGTTCCATTTTGTTTGGCATATGAAAGCCAATATTTAAGTTTTTTAAAGTGTTTTCTGTTCTTGACCTGAATACAACAGGCTGATTTTACATATGCACACACAGCTTTCAATGAAAGATGGCAATACTCAATGCAGGCGTTCCTAAAAACTGAAGATTGTTCCAGTTCTCAATTATTTCTATATTGTGATCCAAGAATAGCTCACAAGACTTACCCATTATTTAGTATAGACTCTGAATATTACAAATTTAGGAGCCTGCTGTCCAGCCATTTTATAGCACATCTGCAAAGATCCTTTGAGAGGCTGAAAAAAGAGATTTTAGAGAGACCAGAAACAGATATTTAAGAGATTAGGGAAAAAAGTCTCTTTGCAGAGTGTCTGTGCTGTGGTGGCACCTCACAAGAGGTAAAGCGTTCATAATTATTTAATCTAGAGGGGTAATTAATCAAAGACTGGCCTTATAGGAAGCTTCATAGTTCTTTCCTAGAGCTAGATGATGGTTTCTCCAAATAATTTATTTGTGGCTATTAATTATCTACTATGGTAAAATCATCTCATATTACCAGTCCACCTGTCAGCATGCAGAAACATACAATGCCTCTTAGCATGATTTCACCTCCTAATTACAAAAGGAGCAAAAATCCATGTATCTTTCAGGACAATATCAATTAGTATTTACATTTTGACTCCAGTTTCCAGTCTGTCTTTGCACAAACTGTTTGGAAAATTATTTCTGGCTACCTGCTTCCTTTCATAAATTCAGTAGTGGTGCCTGTATTGGAAATCAGGCATTTGTAGGGGTCATCTCCAATATAAAGAACTTGCTCCCAGAAGTCTCATGATTTCACACACAAACATTGTAAAATAAGACAGAGTAGATAAACAGGCCGTGGGGTTTTTTCTCTCCTGTTTTTCTTTTGTCTGAAATTTATATAGCAAGGAAATGTTTGCTGAGACCAATAAAGTTACATGTTAAGAATGTGAAGTAAAGAAAGTCACTTTACATACTTTGAGTACCAGGAGCAGTTTTGAATAGTTCTCATCAGACAATCCATTTCCAGCTGAAAACTGCCTCTCAAAAGCCCTAATGTCATTCCAGGTGAGGAAATTCCTTCAGACTTGTTTGCTTTCAGGGTGAACATTTTCTCCTTTAGGTGTTTCTTGCAAGGAACTTTTCCTTTCTTACCCTGTAGCTTCAACCTTTCTGATCTTGATAACAGAATTATCTCAGCCATTCTGCAGCTGCAGAGAAATTGTCTTTGACTGCCATGGGAATTATCACCAAATGAAACTCAAGGATTTAATACAGATTAAAAAGTGTGACTGTCTAAATGCTGCTGACCAAGACAAGTTGACTGCAGGTGTTTGAAGTTCTTCTGTAAAGTGCAGATCTCCCAGTGAGGAGGACTTGGTTTGTACAGTCCTACATTCATATTCCTCTCCTAAAATAAAAATCCCAAATGCAGTGATGATTTTATTTAAAGCCCCATGGCTCTTCATTAACCAGTCACACCAGGTTTTTTTCTTATTCAACTCTATGCAGGTTTCTTAAGGAATTACATAATATTAACTTACTAATTCAGGAATATCTTCCAGCATGAGATTGCAATATTTACTTTATTTGCTACTACCCAGAAGTCACCTTGCCTTCCCTGAGCTCCACTGACCTGTTATTCAAATCATTCAATATTATGTTATTTCCTTTAGTGTGGTAATTTTTTGTATCAGTAGTATGAAAGATTGAAACGTTATCACCCATCAGTATCTGGTATTTATTTTTCCAAACATCAAAGCCTGTTGTATCTCAGCACAGTCTGCTTCTTTTGCCCATTTTAGAAACATCTTCTACAAGAGCCGTGCAAAGCAAGCACTCAAACGTTGTGACTTTGAGTTGAGCCACGAAGATGATGAAGGGAGTGGAGCCTTGATATTTTACCTGATTGTTCAGAGAACAGTTACTATGAGAAATTACCTCTTTAGATTTGAACACCATTCTTCTCAAGAGTAAATCCAGATTGTGTAAGTTCAGCTTTTTCACTGGGAAAATATCCAACTAAATAAACTAAGGGGCAATGGGTGTGAGCTGGAACACAGGAGGTTCCGCTTAAACTTGAGAAGAAACTTCTTTCCAGTGAGGGTGCCAGAGCCCTGGGACAGGCTGCCCAGGGAGGGTGTGGAGTCTCCTTCTCTGGAGACATTCAAGACCCGCCTGGACGCCTTCCTGTGTGATCTCATTGAGGTTCCTGCTCTGGCAGGGGGGTTGGACTGGATGATCTTTTGAGGTCCCTTCCAATCCCTGACATCCTGTGATTCTGTGATTCTGTGACTTGGCTCCAACATGAGCACCAAATTTAGTAGGACAGTTTTGCAATCACTGTTTAATTAGCTGTGATTCTTCAGTCTTAGCTTCCAGATGGAGAACTGCTTAGCAGTCACCAGTAGTGGAATTCCTCTAAGTGAACTGCAGGTGCCTCTGTTACTCACCCTAGGCTTCCTCTGTGCTCAGTTCAGAGAAATAGGCACTTCTGGGGCGTGAGACAACTGCTGCTAAGGTAGATGGCTGAAATAAATCACCAGTTGTACTTTTCAAGAGCCTATTTCTCTTCATTCATTATAAAGGAAATAGAGATGACTGTCTCTGCACTGTTCATAGTGTAGATTGAGCAGACATCTGCCTATTTTATACTCCAGGAAAGTGGAGGAGGGAGGGGAACAAAAGGAACCTGTTCTTTGAGATATAGTCTATCTGGTTTGAACATTCCTTCCTTGCCCACTCCAGACAGTCTCTGACTAGGATTCTGACCCCACAAGAGAGCTCACAGGTGTTGGCACCTGCTTTTTCCATCCTTTTCCCAAAGTGAGGACATACTGAATATGTGGTGGCCTAGATTATTTGTGTCTTAACTTTAGGTACTTTACAACAGCAGTTGCTTCTTTGCTTAGTATCAAGATAGTAGATGGGCTGATGCCCTCTGGAGGTCCGATCCGTACTCTGCTGACTCTGTTGGGATCCTCCTGAGACAAGTGTACACCCAAGTGCCTAAAGTACAATGATGTAAATTCAGGTCACCCACCGTAGGTAATCCCTTATGTTCAGGTTCTTTACTCTTCAGATTCTCATCTCAAGCATACCTAACTGTGCAGGTAAAATGAAATCAATATAAAATCTATATTTTTGTAACATGACCATATTTTTTTTTAATAATAAACCTACATCATTATTTAATAATAAACCTACATCATTATTTAATAATAAACCTACATTATTTTTTTTAATAATAAACCTACATATTCCTATTCTTAGGAATTCTACTTTTTACTAAAATTTATCTCCAAGTTTGGGGGACCCACCATTGTGTTCAAAGGCACAATGGTTGCAGAGGGAGCACCTTTGCATACAAAGTAAAGCATAATTACTGCATAATTTAAGATCAATTTCCTAGGAGTAGCGAGACTTCAGGATTCATTAAATTTTCTCTCAAATCACTGAGTCTGTTTGCCTAAATGTACTGCGCAGTTATTGAATATATAGTCCTTTCTTTGCTGTCCTAAGTGCCTTCGGTTGTACATTTAGTAGTGGCTTTAGTGATCTCTGGAAAGCAAACAAAATAGCAATCAATGCTTTTGTCCTTACATTTGATATTTTACCTGATTGTTCAGAGAACAGTTACTATGAGAAATTACCTCTTTAGATTTGAACACCATTCTTCTCAAGAGTAAATCCAGATTGTGTAAGTTCAGCTTTTTCACTGGGAAAATATCCAACTAAATAAACTAAGGGGCAATGGGTGTGAGCTGGAACACAGGAGGTTCCGCTTAAACTTGAGAAGAAACTTCTTTCCAGTGAGGGTGCCAGAGCCCTGGGACAGGCTGCCCAGGGAGGGTGTGGAGTCTCCTTCTCTGGAGACATTCAAAACCCACCTGGACGCCTTCCTGTGTGATCTCATTTAGGTTCCTGCTCTGGCAGGGGGATTGGACTGGATGATCTTTCGAGGTCCCTTCCAATCCCTGACATTCTGTGATTCTGTAAATTAACTATTAAATTTTCTGACAGGTTAATTTTCAGCATTCTTAGAATATTTGTTTTTCCTTTGTTTGTTTCACCAAGTATTAATATCAGCGGAGAGAAACCAAAAGATCGATCCTGGCACACGTTGACTCCGATAGGAGATGACAGACTTTTTCTTTTTGGTGGACTAAGTTCTGATAATGTTCCTTTAAGTAAGTAATTTAGAGATTATAATTCTATCGTACACTTTAGTACTGATCTCGTATAGTATGCACTTTTGTTCTTTCTCAATCTGCTTAGATCTAAATCTTGTAACAGAATATTCACGGTGCTTAAATATTTCTCTAGCTATCTTATTATTTTTGTAGAACATATGATAATAAATCTGTCATCTAAAAGAATAAAAGCAAGAGTCTCATGCCTTCTGATATGAACAAGGGGTAACTTCTGATGTCAATAGCAACTGCAGTAAGAAGATACAAATAATAATGTCAACATCATATAGACACTGGAACAGGTTGCCCAAGGAAGTTGTGGATGCCCCCTCCCTGGAAGTGTTGAAGACCAGGTTGGATGAGGCTTTGAGCAACCTGGTCTAGTGGAAGGTGTCCCTGCTGCTGGCAGGGGGGTTGGGACTGGATGAGCTTTAAGGTCCCTTCCAACCCAAACCATTCTGTGATTCTGTGATTTGTGGATGAGTAACAAATCACAGCTGCAAAATGTTAAATAGGAAGTACCATACTCTTACCCAGAGTTCCTTTGCTAGAAAAGGCAACTTATTTTCATGAAAAAAAATTGAAATAGTGCAAACAGCTTTAAGTGTCACAGAGATATTCCACTGGGAGGGGGTGATTTTCAAAGGGAGATTGACCTGCTTTCTCAATACATCTAAGGAAATGCATTTTAATTACAGATTTCAATGCAATGAGCTTTCTGTAAGTGAATGGTTAAGTTAAATTACAAAAAACTGAAAAGATATAAGTTCATGTAGTGATGATGTCACTGTTGTCTTAATATAATGTCCTCTTAGAACACAGAGCTTTTTGTATAATCCAATAAAAACTGTAACACTTTGTCCCAAGAAAAAGTACTAATGTGTGTTCCCAAGAAAAAGTACTAATGTGTGTTGTTCTTTGTAGGTGATGGCTGGATTCACAGCATTACAACAAATGGATGGAAACAGCTCACCCATTTGCCTAAGAGTAGGCCTAGGTATACAAAAATAGATAATGTTTGCTGAAATTTAGGCATTTTTAAAAATTAAGTAATTTTAAATTATTGAACAGTATTTTTAAACTACATTATAAGAATATTTTAGAACATTAATGCAGTATAATTGAATGTTTGCTTTACTAACTTATGTTCCTTCATACCTGATACAGCATTATCACTTTCTACATTTATTATAGTTGATACTTACTTGCATTGAGATTTTTTTGTGGTGAAGGATCTGGGTGTCCAACTAACCTGGTGTTCTATATCCAAATTATTTTTATATACAAAAATGTATATCACTTAACTTTTGAGGAATTAATAACTGATGAGAATATTAAAAGTTGATTAATGTTGATAACATTCTTAAAAACATGGGAGAGACAACTATGAAAATGTTGATGCTCCTTTCAGGATTCAAAAGGATTCTAAAATACCTTGGTTTGGTTGGTTGGGTTTTTCTCCCTGAGCAGAAGGTTAATTATGTGGTTTGGCAAAATGGAATTTAGTACTAAACAGCACAGTAAATGACTGTGGAGTTTTGTAATTTTGATGACTTAACTGCCAACCAAAAAGGACCCAGTTCTAGAGTATGTATTGTTCATAATGGCAACAATATTGTGTCTTCCAGACTCTGTTCCCTTGGAACAGGGGAAAGGAAGGAAAAGATTGATTCTTTCTGACTAAAGAAATCAAGTTTCATGTTCTGAACCTGGAGCTTATTTAGAATCTGTCATTAAAAACAACTGCTTGCTGTATCAGAGCACAGACTTTTTTTAACACAGTGTTTGAAGGATTCTCTGTATTGATAATGTAAATACTATTGAATTGATTTGCTGTAGATAGTAAATATTCAGTTTTTCATTAAATTCTATTAATTCTGTACATTCACCCGGGTGCTCTCAGCACAATTTTATATCATTCTTTTAGCATAGCCTACAATTCTGGTCTGGCATTTGCATGCTTCCTGCCTTATGTTGTTTTCTATTACTGAAATATCTTTACCTCAATTAATTTTCTTCCTGTTTTATCCTATTCTAGGGTGTCTTTTAAATATAACAGCACTGGTAGACCAAGTTTTCTGCTTTCTTCTATTTCAGACTCTTTCAAGCCCAAATAAACTTAGCCCTTAGCTTCATAGAATATTTTCTGTCTTTTAACTGATGTATGAAGGGACTGATAACTGCCCTAAATAACAAAGCACATTATTACAGAATCCCAGAATTGCCCAGATTGGAAAAGACCTTTAAGATCATCGAGTCCAACCATGAACTCAACACTGACAAGTCCCCTATGACTAACCCATGTCCCTCAGCACTGTGTCTACACGACTCTTCAATCCCTCCAGGGATGGGGACTCCACCACTGCCCTGGGCAACCCCTTCCAATGCCTCAGAACCCTTTCAGCAAAGAAATTCTTCCTCACATCCAATCTCAACTGCCCTGGGCACGACTTGAGGCCATTTCCTCTTGTCCTTAGCAGTCAAGGATAATGTTTGTCTTTGTGTTCTGTTCTTTACACGGATGGTCTCATACAAGTTGACTGCTGAATTGGACTTCCTCACCTTGTGTAATTATTTTTACTGGTGCATCATGAAAAAGGATCAGGAAGGAACAGAATATCCTCTTTCTACAGGCAGCAGCCCAGGGAGCTGCAGCTCAGCCTTTACTCTGCAGTTAAACTGGAATAATATTTGTGTCTCAGGTGGTGGTAGGGCTGGATGTCAGGAACCAGGAACCTGTGACTCCTGAGCCCCAAACAGCTCTCAGGCAATTCAAGGGCAGATCCCATACTGGGCTACAAAGTGGAGCTGTCACTTGGCTGTGCTGGCAGAGGGGCTGTTGAGCAAGCCACATTTCTTGCTGCAGCAGAAACAGCAAAGAGGGTTCCTGAGGTTGATGCTGCTAAATTTGCTGAGGACTCTGCTGTACACACAGCCCAGACCCTCCTAAGAGAACAGTGCTTTTGGGTCATACGCTGTCCAGAGTCTCAGAGCTCCCTCAAGTCCAAACGTGTCCTATAGTTCTCAACCCTCTGAAGATTTTGGCATGCAGTTTGTAGGCTGAGGACGTTGACTTTTATTGACCTAATTACTGAATTAATTTACCTTTTTTTTTTTAAAAAAAAGGAAAGAAATAAAAGATACTTTAATAACCTTTTTCAGGAAGTCCTGGAATAAAGTCCATGGATAAAAGGAGTCATACCGAAAGCCTGCCCATATATCAAACTAGTTTGAATGAGAAACACTTGTACCATGATTGTATCCCTGTTCTTACAGAGGATTAGTGCAGGATCTCTGCAACTGAAAAAGGTTTAAGGCAGTTCTGTCACTCATATGACTTTACAGCAGGACTTAAAATGCAGTAGCAATAATATATATGTATACTTTTATATATTTCTGTTATTTTATAATAATACACATTATATCACGCATTACATTAGTGTATTTTCCTGATACTTCTGCAAAATTTTTTCCCTCCTTAAATTCTGTAACGAATAATTTCCTTGGACCTTTATTTTTAGTAATTTCTAAAAAATTATCTTCCAGGTTATAGATCTGTGGTTCTGTATTGACAGAAAATACTTTCCTTCTATCAGTTGTACTTCAGCTAATGTTTTGCACGCCAAGTTAAAAGCGAGAACAAATTGTCTATTTAACTTCTAGATTCCTGGTGTTTTCATGACAAATGTAATTCTGTAGTTAGAAGAGCTGTGTAAAAAGGTTTTGTCAATTCAGCATCTGTTATCATTGAAATAACGTGCTTCATTAAGAGTGTTTAGGTGATAAGTTAGAGCAGCTGTGAGAGGGCATTACACTCTGGCAGTCTGTAGAAAAAGCATCAGGTTGTGAGCTAGGATGTCAACAAAGTCAAGGTCCGACAGGCTTCCCAGTGTTCTTCGGTGATGAAGTCCAGGCAAGAGTTTTCGTAATGCAGATAAGGCAGAGACAGATCTATCTACAGGTATGAGGAAGAGAAAAGGTGGGATACAGTTTATCCTAAGGAGAACAGTGAATAATTACTGATGTGAATGGAGTAAGAAAGTGAGAACGTTTACTTTTGCATGCAAGTTTTTAGCAGTGCACATAATTTTGGTTAAGTAGACTTAAAGGGCCAGAGCTCTGTGGTGATAATCATCTTGTGATATTTATTTCAGTGGTGATAACACCTGTAGAAAAATTACAGATTTTTTTTTATCTGCTCGTAATAAAAAGTAAATCAAGCAAGGTGGAGCTGCTGAAGTAGCAGAATCATTGTTAAAGCAAGATTTTTACAAGTCAGGGTTTGGTTTGGATCTTTTCATACCACGTGCTTTTAGATGCACAACAGCACATTTATTTGTGGGTGTGATGTAAGTCATTGACACACTGAAAATGATCCCCAGGCATCTTTGGGGGAAGAGTAAAACTGAAACAGGATCAGTTGTGTTCTGAAGCTCTCATCCTAGTGTTGAGGGATAAGAGTCAGTACTGAAAACCCCACAGTCTTAAAGCCGTTAGAATTGTAGTTATGAATTAAAGAAATAGTGGAAAAATTTAAAAGGAAAAAAAAAATGGAAAAGAAAAAGCTGTTCTTGGCAAAAGCTTGTTTTGTGTAGTTATTTTGTTTTCTAAAAATTTTCCACTGTAATGTTTTGTTGAAGTAGTGATAAATAAAAGTATATTGAACTAGAGTACAGAAAAGTCAAATAATGACAAAAACATATTGCTGTATATGAAATGTAATCATTCAGCGAGGTTCTCATGAGATGGATAGTCACATTGCTCTCTCCTTTTATGTTGTTAAAGAAATGAGTGATATATTTTAAAGATATTAATTTTTTACCTCTGAAGACTTTTAAAATAATATCTTTGTTTTGGTTTTCTAAGTAAGGGTTACGTTACCGTGCTCTGTGCACGCGTGGCTGCCTCTCCTTCCTGTGTAAATTATGAATCAATTGTCCCATTTCAGTAATATTTGAGGGGAAAAAAAAAAAAAGATGCTTGGAGATAACTAAGTCCCAACATACTCTGTGGGAGTAGAAAAGAGGGACTCTCATAATTGCATCACTCCAGTGAGCGCTCGGTGTTGTATTCTCCGTTCTTCCCTAAGAGCAGCAGGTCTGCCTTGAGACACCCGCTGATAAAGAACAGGCTTTATTGTTTCTGCAACTCACAGAGCAACTTGTAAAATACATTATTTAAACTGGTGCAATTCTTCTGGTATTGATTGTAGTGAGTATAAGTAGCCAGGCCAGTGAGATGTCGAGGCTCTGTGCGTAAGTACTGGAATCGCAGGATTAGAAAAGTGACCTTTCCATTTCAGTTCAAAGCAACTTACGTCCCGATAGCAAAAGTCTTTTGAAAAGAATATTCATAAAGAATGGAGAAGAGTCTGTGTGAGGTGAAGAGGTTAATATGCAAGGAAACTGTTAAAAACATTGAGGTTTTTAGATTTGTTTTGCTGATAATGCACAACTGTTTGTTGTGACTCGGTTGCTAAATCTATTTTTAATTTTATTTCTAGGTTGTGGCATACAGCCTGCCTTGGAAAAGAAGGAGAAGTGATGGTGTTTGGTGGAAGCAAAGATGATTTGCACTTCATGGACACAGTCAGTAAACTGAATAATGAAATCTTAGCACTAGAGTAATTAAAACTGAAATAAAATAAAGTTAATATAATTGCTGATATTATTGGGTTCATTTGTAACTGTTGTGAGATGTGACCTTGGATGTTCTTGGAAGGAATTTAGGAGGGGTTTTTCTGTGTTAGGCTCATAAAAAGGAATTTGTTATTCAGATTCTTTACAAATAATTATTTAAGTCTTCTCAGTTTTAAATTATGCCTGTGGTAATAAATGTTACATTCATCTAGAAAATAGCAGTTAAGCTGTTTTGTTATTTTAATGGTTCTTTCTTTCTGTTGATCCAGGGTCACTGCAGTGATTTGTTGATATTTCAGACTCAACCTTATTCACTCCTCAGGTGAGTTGAGGTTATCGGCACAGAGTCTGGTGTAAATCAATACACCCTCTGCTTTTACACACAGCTCTTCAGCTTAGAGAACATTTACTTAAATAAATATATATTATTTTTACCTTTTTTTTTTCCCTCCTCCTTCTTCAGGTTGTGTCTCGACTGCATTGGTAAATACGCAACTCTCTTAAAGAATCAAATACCGTGTTTGCCATCCAAACTTTTGCAGCAAGTGCTGAAAAAAATAACCTTCTGGGCTGCGGTTAACCACCGGCGAGAGAAGAAAGCTGAAATGGAGAGACAAAGTCAACTAAACACCACATGAACAACGGCACCGGAACTGTTGGACACTTTGGTTTATTTACAGCATACAAGCAAAGGGTTTTTTGTTAGTGAACTTGACTGATGCTACAGAACAACTGTCTGTTAAGCTGAGTTTCTTAAATGAAGTTTGAGAGCAAAGAAATCCTTTTTTTCTTTTTTTCTTTTTTTTTTTTTAAGTCTCTTTTAAAGTTTTCTGCGTTATAGGAAACTGATAAAAATTCATTTGTATATATTGTTAAGTTCTGCTGTTGTGGTCTGAAGGAGAGAGTTCATCCAACTTGTTCTTTTTTGAAGTTGACAAAACGATACGAAACGTTTTGGGTTGGATAAAATACAGCTTGAGTCTGAGGGAAGTTGTGTGACTGGGTCTTGTAATCCTTTTACATGTGTTAAATGTAAGCGCTGAGTATGAGTTTGGTGGCTTCCTCTCACCGAGAAGTGGCGATCTCTTTGGTTTGCTCTTGACAAAGAAATTCCCCCCAAAATCTCGTTGGCCCCACAGTTTTCTTTGGGGGGACGGGGTGGGGG